CCTAAAATTATAAAAACAAAAGTGACAAGAGATATAATAACCAAAACAAAGAAAAATATTAACAGCAAAAATAGCACTACCAAAATATTATTAATAAATTGCAAGATGATATTAAAATACTTAAAATTAAAAGTAGACAATCCCTATATAACAAAGTGACAAATCTAGGAAACCTAGAGTAGAATCCTCAAAACCACCATTCAAAAAGGAAGAAAAACTTTATATCAAAAAAGAAGGAGACTTGCAGAACTCTTTCAAACCTAAGCAAGAATATAAAGAAACTAGAAAAAATTTCTAAGGAAAACCTATGTATCAAGAATCAAAAGAACCTATCAAGTTTAGTAATCTAAACAATGTTGGGTATAAACTACTCTTGCCGAAGCAATTTAATCCAAAGAAAGAAAATATAGACATAATGCTAAATATCAAGAAGAGATTCGCAAAAGGACCTGCGAACTCAAATTACTTGAAAAACTCTATAAGAAATTCAGAAATAAAAATCTATAATCTAGAAAATGATCCAAAATATGATCAGTATCTAGAATTATGCAACTCATACTAGGAATTATTTCACCTAGAAGAAAATGAATCTATTTCTGATAATGAATTAGAAGAAGAATTCGAAAAGATCACTTTATCAGAACAGTATTTCTAAACAGGAGCCTGCATGATACTCAGAACTCACTCTCAATACAACCAACAGGCTATATCACAGAATTAAATTAAAATACTTCAAATAAAAATAATGCAAATTTATGTAATAACAAATATACTATATTAATAAAGAACTATCTAAACCTTTGACCAAAATAAATAATTACCCTGCCACAAATACTTTATATTGGCCCAAATAAACTATTGAAACCAAACTAGATCCTAAAGGAGTAAAAGAATTTTACTTTTATAGAAAAGTGTGCAACATACCTATAGAATTCAAACTTGATAAGGGATCAACTTGCACAATAATGGGAAAGAACCACTTAGACCTTTTAAAGAAAAACAAACAACACTTTAGATTTTATCTACGAAAATTAATCGCAAAAGCTGTAGAATCAAACAATGTCACCATAATTGGAAAAGCAATTGTCAACATAAAAATCAATAAGCACTTCTTTACAAATATTAAAATAAATGTACAAGGCTCATACCTAAAATATATTTAGTATCAAACAAAACAAAGCAACAACTGGAAATAACAATTAAACTACCTGAGAAATTTATTTTATTATGAGATTTACTATAATGAACCAAAAATAGCTAAACCGCAAGCAAACAAATGATCAGCCATATTTAGCCGCACTAAGTGATGGCAAGCTAAATATCAAGATAAGTCTACATCCAGCTGTAAAAGGATGACATATTCTTAGGAGTGATGAATTATCTGATTCATCTGAGTCTGAGAATACCAATAACATAGAAAAATCAGATATTGATAAATCTAGTGATACACCTAGCTCAGAAATTACATCAGAAACTACCACCCAAATGAATTTGAGAATCAAGGCGAATGCAAAGGAAAAGGCACCTAATGTACAAAAAAAAACTATAAATACAAACCTTTAAAATATCGACAAAGATCCATGAAGAAACTCCCAGAAAATTAGAAAATCCAAACAATTATTAGAAATAGGAAAATGTATACCCATAATCCGTATAAAGTATCAAATTATGAAACAATTGACTTAAATAAGGAGCAATATAATCTATTTAAGAAACAATGCGAAATTAATCAAAAAAGAAATACTTAATTGGAGTCACATGTGATAGTTCTTGAGAAGGAATTCGAGAAGCCATCATACGAACAGGAAGTAATATAGTGCAAATATTCATAACAGGCGAACACAACAGTATGCCAAGAATAAAATAATGAATAACTGATTAACCTTGAAAGAAGGGATACCAAACCTAGAAAATGACAGGCTTATACAAGCTAGGCTGTCACAATTGCAAGTCAAACTGCATATAGTAATACATGCATCTATGGGCTTAAGTATCAATGATGCTATACAAGAAGGATTATTTGATTAGAAAATCAAAAGAATAGTTGAAGAAATAAAGTGCACACACACAATAGAAAGCAAGGTATATGTATTGCATATAGAAACAAAGGCCTTGAAGAATACAATACTGACACAAGAAGGGATCCAGAAAGATCACATCAAGAAAAACTTAGAAGCTATACTGAAACAAACTACTAGCACTGATGTCATGATCTTATTAGAAAACTCAGCCACTAACAAGTATTATAGAGCAAAAATAGAAGAACTCTTAGAAATTAAAAGCAGTATAGACAAGAATTTATTAACTAAAGTGGTAATACATGAAAGCTCAAATAAACTACCACAAATGCAAAAAATAAAGTGTCTAAAGTTATGTTTTGACACTCAATATTATTTTGCAGCAGGATGTGGTAGATATCTAGATGACTATATAGAAGTCATGGAAAAGTATAGAGATGAAATACATCTTATATATAAATAATGTTATAAAAGAAAGAAAATAAAACAGAAAGATGGATCCATAAAAAATATAAAGCAACAGTATATGGCAGTGGACAGGATGTCTATGCACATTTATTACAAGGACAATTATTGCAAGAAATATTTGAAATGCTAGCACAACACTCTAGAATGAAGACAATGATACTAGAAACACCTGGTAAAACTGAAGAACAGAAACAGGAACAAATACGAGAAGTGTACATACTAAGACAATACACTAAACCTGAAGACACTTTACAAAGCGATGACTTACTGTTCAAGTTAGACTTTCAAAAAATAGAAGAACTAGAGAAGGAAGAAATCTCCAAACAATAAATAAATATGAGTTACCAGAAATAGTGAGTTTACAAGACCATTTCGAACGATTATAATTAGAAGGACAAGAAAGATATCAAGACCTAGAAAACAAGAATCTATCAATAGGAAAAGAAAGAAACAAGTAGAACAATTAATGTTCAAAGCAAATAAAGCATTAAATAAGTTCCAAGCTATACTTTTTGCAGGAAAAAGCAAAAGCACACCACCACCAACTCCAAAAACTTTTGGACAACTAATAGAACAATATAGAATGAAAGTAAAGAAATTAGAAAAGTTGCAAGAAGAAGAAGGAAACGAGGAAGTGGTTAAAACACTTAAAGACCTCGTAGACCAGATAGCAACTACTGATTCTAATTTCAAAAGGATTAAGCTAATGAATAATAAAGAAGCTCAAACACATGTCGATAAAATAAAAAATATCAACATATTACCACGAAGACTTAAAGAAACTAAGTTGCATG